GATTTATGTTTAGGTTAGTTAGATGTTTTAAAATCAGTAGAAGGTTTTAATGTACCAACGTTTAGCCATTGACAATGAGTAATTTAGGAGTGTCTGAAAGACAGCTGGTTTGAAGAGAAGGGAAAAATTACTTTCTCTTGAACAGTGAAAGGATATTTACTCTTGCTCACATGAGTCAATTCTGATTCACATCAACTGTGTAGGGCAGAGTGGAACTGCCTCTATGGTTTCTGAGATTAACTCTTAATGAGAGTAGAATATCTTTCTCCTTCAGAGCAGTTGGTGGTTTCGAGCTGCTGACCTTCCAATTAGCAATGCAGTGTATGTATCCCACCACTGTGTGTATATGCACCAGTGTATATATCCTCCAGTGTATATCCCACTAGGGTTCCTACTCTGAAAGGATAGATTTAAAATATAAATTGTAGTACATCATTTTATAGCTTTATAATATACCCTAATTTTAAAAAAATTGGTGCTATGTCAACTGAGATTTTCCTGAAATTTCCTATTTTATAAGATTCTGTTTTTGTTCTTTTATTTTTTAGGATTTTATACAAAACTTAATTGCCATTACCAGTGTAATAATAGGTCATATAGTACATTAATGACAGTTTTAGTGATTCTCTTAGAGGATGTCGAAAGCAATTGATAGCAGCATGTACCTTTGACCAATGGTCTTTGTGTTTCTGGAGTGTGTTCAGTTGAAATAGTTGCTCTGAGTCAGGTAAAACCACTGCCATCCAGTGGATTTCAATTCATAGTGACTCCATAGGGCTGTAACTCTTTATAGGAGCAGATAGCGTCATCTTCCTCCCACAGAGTGGCTGGTGGATTTGAACCACTGAGCAAAGCCCACATTGCCACTAGTGCTCCTTCTGGGGAACAAATCTGCCTCCAAGGGGTAGCCATCTCAACTTTGTGCTTTGGTTTCAGCTACATTGTATGATCAGTGGTTTTAGAATTAGACTTTTGGTCACAGGTGAGATATTGTGATTAGTGACACCACTCATCTCACTGTTAGAAAAACCACTTGGATCTATGACATAATTTATGGAGCGTGCTGCTTGATCTGCAGTTGGAAAATCACTCGTAAGTTTGGTGTAATAATAACTGACTGCTATTAAGCTCTTCAGCCTTGTCTCTATGAGTTCATGAATGCAATAGGTCAATAAAAACAATAGATCTAAAAAAAATAATAGATCTTTGATTAAGTTTCTTATTCACATTTATGGTGATCATGTAAAATAATAAAAGATTTTCTTCCATTACTTGTGTTTACAACTAGAAATAGGTAAACCTTTATGGCCAGTTTTGTCATTGTGTGAAGTTACCTTTATTTCTGTTATTTATTTTTTTTAAAGAGAACCTGTGGTGTGGTGGAGAGAACCTATGATACAGAAGTTTGCACATATCAAAGGAGATGAAATAGTATGATGAATCCTACATATTCATCAGCTAGCCCCAACAACCCAGGGCCTCTGCCCCACATACCCATTTAATAGTCTTTTT